ACTAGTTCAATTGTACGTGCGAGATTTACGCACACACTAGAAATACGTCACCGATTAGGAAAGCTCTAACTAACGCTATAACGAAAACTACTGCAATAGGGTAGTCGATACTTGTTTTTTATACACTACAGCCATCTTTCGGAAGCAACATGAACTACTACCAACTCTTGTTCTCTTGCAAGCTCAACAAAGCTCTATCAACACTTGTAAAACTAAAGGATTTTCCGCCCTTCAAAAATACCCTTAATGTTTAATAGATGTCGTCGTATAGCAGGATATAACTTAAAAAAATATTATATAGTTATTTTAATTAAATATATGTAAATTTAAAAGTGATTCTTCTAAGATTTTTTTAAATAAACCAGTTATTTGAAATCATTTTCAAAAAATAATGATCATATCGACGTTATGACGAAAACTTCTAAAATATATTAAAAGACTATTTAGATAAGATTTATTTCTAAAATTCTTGTAAACGAAACAGTGAATATAATTAGTTAATGTCTCTAAAAATATAATTTTTTAATTTATTTGTAATTATAGTCGTTCCTTATAAAAAAAATTATGTCACCTCTTATGCACATCAATTTATTTTAAGAAAAGTTAATAATCTTTTAAATTAAAAATAGTTAAATATTTCCCTGGCACTCTTGAGATGGGAAAAAGTGGAATTATTAAGCATTTTTAATCAAGAATATTTTGCAGTATAGCATTATGAATGCAAAATTGATCAAATATAAGTAACAAAATTAGTTAATAAACTTATTCGTGCTCGAAATATGTATGATCCGTTAAAACATAATGATTCTTCTATTTCACTTTTCAAGGTCAAGGTCAATAAAATATATTATTTAAAACATTCACTTATGTAAATTATTTACTCGCGTGTTTTAATCATTTTCAAACCTGTTTATCAGACGATACTGTGGGTGGTTCTTACATATTTGGATATTCTTTTATCGAGACACTTCTTGTTTAAGTTAAAGTTTTTAATCATAGAAGATTATTTTGAATACCTCAGCTTTAGAAATATTATTATTAAAACTTTAAAAGCTTAGCTTATTTAATACAATATTTAGAATAAGTTTTTTTTAGATTTTCAGCTCTTTCGAACCCCGTAATTACTAAAATGAAACGTTCGTCTTCTCATTATAATCTACAAAGATCATTTATAAACTCCTGCACTCATTAGCAGATTATCACTATAACGCCAAAATGTGTATTCTTCTTAAAAAAATTGTACCTATGCTTTTAAAGATAAATAGAAAACTCCAAAACCAGACCTCACTATTTATGCAAGTTTCACATATACAGACACATCTGCTGTCTTATTCCTATGTGATCAATTTGTTTCGAATAAATTACAATCTCTTGTGTTTATGACGCCATTGATAAAATATGTTTTGAGAATAACTTTTAATGAAATTGTTGAAAATAAGTCAGGTGGTGACATTACTTCGTACAGAAAATATCTATAAAATTTAGTTTTTTTTTCTGATAAATTTTATTAATTATACATTTTTTTATATCTTACTGAATGTTATATGTAAAAAGCTAATAAAGTTTGTGTTTTAAAAGTTGTCATTAGTCGTTTCAGTTTCAAACCGATATACAGATAGAACAAAGCACCATTTTCAATGTTTTGAATAGAAGCTTATATTCAGTTATGGTAGTTTTTAGTTATAATAACAGGTAATTCCTGAAAAAAGTTTCTTGGCGTCAGGTCCAATAAACTAATAATTGTGTACGTTAATTACAAAAAGTACGTAATTAAAGATAGACTGATTAAATATTTAAGATTTTATATTTGTAATGAGAACAATACACTTCTTTTTTAGGCAGTCCTGAAAATAGAACGGAAATGGATCTGACCGAAAATTATCTGGCTTTTATTAGGAACTTTGACAATATCTACTGCCTTCTCAAATATAAACGAAAAGGAAACTAAAGGCCACTTCAAAAAATCTTAAAATATATCTTAACAATATGGTTAACAAATTCAATATAGTTTAGAAATAAAGTATTCAATAAAGTTTATTAAAGTCGGGCGTTTAAATACATCCGCACCCGGATTAGTATAGTTTGAAATCAGTTTTATTTTTATTCGAATACCAATTTATGATTATAATTTTAGTGAATAACTTAGGCGATGTAGTGTAACCAGTTTTTTATATAAAAAACAAAACCGCTGGCCCGATTATTTTTGTTTTAATATTTTACTAATAAAAAAAAATATCTTTTTTTAAACCATCAGAATCGGTGTACTTTTAACGAAAATATCGTGAAACATTTTTAAAAAAACATTCAGTCGTGAAAAAACAAAGCTTCACCTATTTTTCTAGCCTGTTAAAAAGGAAAAGTTATTTGTATTATTAGATACCAAATATTCAAAACTATCACAGACAATGTAACTTTAAACATAGACAAAAATGCTAAAACTTTAAAAATTTCTAACGACGCGCATATTTGAACACATTTGTTTTCCCATTAGTTTGATCACTTTGGGAATTTTAACTAGAAAACTTGCATTAATTTTGTTTACTTTATATTTGTAAATAAATATAGATAAAATGCAGTTTAAGTGTGTTATGATAAAATCCATTTTTGGTGGGCTTTTGGCACTAAAATATTGGGTAATTGACAGATTATTAAAAAAATATTTAAATAATCATTGAATTATAAAATGTAATATTGTATGATAATCTAAAATTTGTTATAACGTATTTGACTTCGTAATTTTGATATATTATACATTGCCAATGTATGAAACATACCTAATATGAAGAAAAAACAACCCTTTTTAAAGCATTTTTACGTTTATTGGCTTTTTTAGGAATTGGAACATTTATAAACGAATAAGGTAGCTTTTGTAATTTTTAAAATGTTCCATGCACAGTGGCAAAATAATAAAAAAAAAGTAATATTATAAAAAGGAATTATTTGATTGTTTTTTCGTATTTTCCATCAAATAGGCTTGGAAACTACATGATGTGACTGTATCGATTTTAAAATTTATTGCGCCGCGCCGCGGAAAAACAGATTTTAGAGGACATTTTAAGTAAAAAATTTATTCTTAAGAATTTGACACACTTAACTTGGTCTTAGAGAATAGCCTATAAATAATTTATAACTATGTACCTAGTTTGTAGCATTAAGAGGGATATCTCCTCTAATTTATCATTATCATGTATTAAATACATGAACTTAAATTTTTCGGTATCCCAGTCCTATCAAGTGTTTAATTTAAGCCGATTTACAAATATTAAAAACTATATCTTTTGAAGATCGTATCAGAAAAAATAGTAGATATCTAAATATTTTCATAATGGATGCCCGTCTATTGTATAATACAGCCAAGAAACTTACAAATTTAGCTAAACGAGAATTTCAAAAGAGAAAGTTATAAGGCACACGGATTACATGACGCGAAGTTTTAGGCATCCTAAAACGTCGTGGCGTCATGTAATAATGGAAAATAAAATATAGGTGTGGCAGACATGTTTATTAATCAAATGACAAAAATACACAAATTTCACGGTGAAAGTCGGAACTCCCATCTTCCATTTTTTCTTTTCTTTCGAACTTGAAGACTTATATATATTTCACCAATAAGGGAAAAGAAAATCTACCCAGATACACATTTTAGGGTTCAGAAAAGAAACAAACAAGACTGTTAATGTATGATACTGTCTGCATAACGTCTGTCGCTCATAAAGGGTATCTTTTGTAAGCTATTACAGCAACTAATAAACGTTAGTAAATTTAATTTAGCTAAATTTATATATATATATCAATTAAGCCACGGCTTAGCGTATTTTTTTTAAGCAGATCGATATATTTCTTAATCTGAAAAGTAGTTTTGTAAACATTAATTACCAGCAAACCTATTCACTCGTGAAAATTTAAAATTACATTTCTAAAAACATGCAAAACTGTGTTACATTTTGATAACGAATCAAAGGGTTTTGGATTTTCAACAATACAATATAATAAACAATAGTTAGCCAATTCAGTGTTTATTAAAATTTTATACATTTTTTTATGTCTTATACATAAATTGTAACATAACTATTATATGTCAAACCTACATGTTATTTAATATTCAAACTTTTTCAATCATATATAATTGTTGACTAGGCTATAAATAAATAAATGTTTAATCTGTCAATTTTCTCCACCTGTCACATCTCAAAATATTGTGGTAACCTGACAATATTTAATGTAAACAGACAAAAACTGGTGCCAAGTCTGTGTAATACTCACTTCACTAGTAATACTTGCTTATTTCAATTTGGATTTATTTGAACTTTATAAGACTCATATAATTGAAAAGGCAGTTTTAGGGGACTAACTCTTAATTTTAACAATTGCTTACAATAACTACCTATTTGCCATTAGTTTCCATTTGAACACAGGTATAGTTTCATTAGGCAAGATAATTTACTAGAACCAAATAGGTAGGTACTTTAACAAAACAATAAAGAAATATATTATACCTTTTTTTTTTCAAAATGAAATCTGGTAACAACAAAAGCATACTGTTTTGTTTATAGCTTAATAAGGCTGGAATTAATGGTTCTTAACATAATAGAAACTGCAAATGCCACTGATTTCATAACCTCCCTAGGGAACCATCGCCTTTTTGCCCTAAACATTTTCTAGTAGTTGCGTCTGTTCAAAATCAAACCTCAACTATTAAAGATTAGGGTTGTATTTACTACAAACACATTGTAAAGCTTGTAACGTTCTACTAACCGGTGTGGATTAGGTGTATACATAGGATTCAATTTTCGGGGCGTGGCGAATCAAGCACCGTGACACAATGTATTCAAAGCGTCAATATTCGGTTGGCAAAACTGCAGTATAAATTAAAAGACCTTTCTTTTCCTTCATCACTTGTCATGAGAGGGTGGTGGTAGACAGTCAAAATTATCTACGAATAAAGTGAGATTGTTATCGATCTGTCAATTACGAATACTCAGTGAAGGAAGAACCAAAGTATGTTCGCCGAGGGTAAATATAAATGATGCATGATTCGCATAGCGTGATAGTTCAAACGACTATGCTGTCGCCGTCAATTCCATGTCAGTTCGTCTCCTCGCATTCACGATCCACCCTTGCTTCAAATAGTACTATTCTAAATTAAAATAACGTATTTCTTTCAGTCGATAGTGATAAATGTTGTGCGACATTTGGATTGCTGTAGTTTTCTACAATGTTCTGTTTTATTTGTTGCAGGGCCGAGCGCCATAGAGCCGCGCTCGCCAAGCGCTTATACGTCCAACGCCTCCAGCATGCTACTGCTGCAAACACACGTAAGTAGAACAATTAATATGTGAATATTTTTGTGACCTTACAATAATAACAAAATAGAAATATTTAAAAGTATTAGTTAACTAGCGAATTAATTTTGTAGAATATCACAAACTTTAGTTACTTAGTTTAATTCTAAGTAAACATAGTTAAAGCATTTGTGATATGAAATTAGAAATGACTCTACAAGTCAGACATTGAATCTAAACACAGAATAACAACGAACATAAATTTACTAATTCGAGCTAGTTGTATATGTTCTATTAATATTAAACTTGATTCAGTATGTACATATTTTGTAAACAACAAGCGATTAGAACACCTGCATGGTCCAACAATCGTAAAACGTCACGCAGCAGTTGGGATAGTGATAGTATTGACGTGTAGGTAGGTAGTTATGAAAAAGCACGCTATTGGTGCGTCTCGGCCACCCCTGCCAACGTCCAACCTACCACAGTGTGACGCCTCCTATATCGATTATTTTTATATTACAGAGCAACTACGGTTCGTCCTTCAGTGATCTACTATCGCCGCAATATCAAGACGATTCATCTGAAATCTTAGAAGAAAACCTAGATCCGTTTCCGGACGTTGAATTCCACGCCCCAGTTCCGCCTGAAGTAAAGTCACAACGAACAACTCCTGTAAGTGACCCTTCATCGCCTACGCTTGGACCAACTTTACCGAGTTTTGAAGAAACTTACTCGGTCCGTTATCCTAAGCAAGAATTGAGTGAATTTGGCATAAAAATGGATGAGGACTGTTATAACGTTGGCGCATATTCTCATCAGGGACACACATCTACTCAACTTTTATATCCTTATCATCAAACTTCGATTCCATATGTACCATCGACTTACTATGCTCCACCTCAACCATGTAGTCCTACATTTGACACTGGAGGTCTAACCCACAATCAAGACTCATCATATTCGCTGCCGCCTTTTCCAAGTTCAGTTGATTTACATATAAATACAGATCAAAGTTCAAGACAAAGAAGAGCTTCTTTACCTGTTCAACGATCAGAGTCTAGCAGTTCTAACGATAGTCCGAAATTACATGGAGGAAGAGTTCATTGCATGCAGGCATCTGCACCCAGCTCTGCGTCAAGCTCACCCGGTGGTGCACCTTCCGAGACTACTGGATCCCGCGCTGCACCTTCATCTCCAAGTCAACTATGTGCTGTTTGTGGAGACACTGCTGCATGCCAACATTATGGAGTTAGAACATGTGAAGGTTGCAAAGGATTCTTCAAGCGAACTGTACAAAAAGGTTCCAAGTATGTATGTTTAGCAGAGAAATCTTGCCCGGTAGACAAAAGAAGACGAAACAGATGTCAGTTTTGTCGTTTTCAAAAATGTCTTGCCGTCGGAATGGTAAAAGAAGTCGTTAGAACTGATTCTCTTAAAGGTAGACGCGGGAGACTACCTTCAAAACCGAAATGTCCACAGGAATCTCCACCGAGTCCTCCTATATCTATGATCACTGCGTTAGTAAGAGCGCACGTAGATACATCACCTGATTTTGCTAATCTGGATTACTCGCAATATAGAGAGCCTAATCCTATGGAACCACCAATGTCAGACTTAGAAGTTATTCAACAATTTTACTCTCTTCTGACGACGTCAATCGACATGATTAAATTGTTCGCCGAAAAAGTACCTGGATTTTCAGACCTATGCCCTGAAGATCGGGAACAGTTATTCGCATCCGCACGGTTGGAACTTTTTGTACTGAGGCTCGCTTACCGTACAAGGCCTGAAGATACTAAGCTCACCTTCTGCAACGGTTTAGTGCTTGACAAGAGGCAATGTCAAAGATCTTTTGGAGATTGGTTACACGCCGTGCTCGACTTCAGCAACACATTGCACTCGATGGATATCGACATTTCAACATTCGCCTGTCTCTGCGCTCTGACATTAATAACAGGTTCGTATTTTTTTAATTTCTAACCTTAAATATTAATATAATATTAGCTATTATATAATAAAGTTGTCATAGTGAAGAATTATACAATAAAAAGCTAATATTATATATAGCAATAAAATATTGTAGTAAATAGAGGCTTGACAAAAATGAATTTACCATCACGAAGTAACTAATTAAAATCTCTCAATTCGGAAGCGACATCAAAAAATACGATATGTATAATTCTGTTACTTACAAGCTATACTTATTGTTACAGAGCGACATGGACTCAAAGAACCGCATCGAGTGGAACAGATGCAGATGAAGATTATTGGGTGCTTGCGTGCGCATATGCCAGGCGGCGGCGTGGGCGGCGCACCGCACTTCAGCCGCGTACTGGGGGCTCTACCTGAGCTTCGCTCGCTGTCCGTGCAGGGACTGCAACGTATCTTCTATCTCAAGCTCGAGGATCTTGTACCGGCACCACCCCTCATCGAAAACATGTTCCGCGCCAGCCTTCCTTTCTAAAATAACCCAACCCGAGGACCACCCCCGCCTTCTTATGCATTCTCCTTCGATGTTTAGAGCCGACTCCGTTATTTATAAGTGTTAGATATATGTAAAATATTTTTATAGACTAGTTGGACTTTCTGAAGAATGCGATCTCCCACGGAATCGGTTAGTGCTAAGTATAATTTTATTAATATTAAGAAGAAGACAATCTTATTGCATAAGTCCTATTACAAACTTAATTTATTATAAAAGTCTAAGTATTTGACTTATTTTGGTGTGATTTCGTTTTATAGATACCTAATGTTGTGTATTTAGTCTGCATTTGAGTTACCGCTCGTGATTAATGGCATCTTGTCGTACAAATATTCCTATGTTATTTACTTGTGTATTATTTAGTTAAGGAAAATCTAGTCACAAGACTTAGAAATGTTAAATTTGGCTCGTAATCACCGAGCTTTTATTAATAAATTTAAGAAGATAAGGCATATGATGTCCTGCCGTGGGCACTTCTAGCAGGCTAACGGAAACTAGCGTTATTACACAACTGAGGCACTACTCGAGTACTTACAATGCAAGTGTCCAAACATTATGATTGTTGGAAGTTACCTTTAGGTTTAAATTATTTTATAAATAATTTTAGACGCTAGGACGTTAATATAATGTGTTACGATAAGGCAAGAGAAAAGGTTCAGCATAACTATTTTTTAAATATACTACTAAATCCAACGTGTCTTAAAAGAGTACCTTTCTAGATATAATTAGTGTAGATGCGTATGTATCTCTATTCACTCACGTACATATCATATATGTACTGAGTGAACACTAAAAACATATCACTGTTCTTAATTTTTTTTTTTGCTCATAAAATATTTTAATATAATGTCCCTTGAGCATATTTATTATTAAAAGTACTGAAATGTAGTGTTTGTGTTTGCCTGTGCCCTTAACACATTGGTAAGGAATATCGTTTTAAACGATATTAACGAGTTCTACTCATAACGTTAAAGCGTTACTAAATTGTACATAAAGAAAATATTTTGTAAGTCAATATCTTAACGATGACATTTGAATATAGGTGCTTTGGTGAAAAAGATGGGTTTTTGAAACCTTTCGTATTTTACAAAAAGACATGGCAAAAACTTCCTAGACGAATTTAGAAAAAAAAAAGAAACATGATGGTGACTGATCCTCACCATCATGTGCTATAATTCGGAAGTTGGTCAAATTTACCTTAAACTTAAAATTTCAGAAACAAAATAACTCTGAAGCCGTCCTTATCGAGGAGAACAATATTTGCCCCTTATAAAATACCTCTACAGAATTTTAACGCACAATTTTTATGAAGTCAATATGCTTTATTTCTCTGCTAAATTTATATGTAAGATAATGTACTCATTAAAATACCTACGCTGAATATTTACGGTATAATAACATATTCATAAAGTTTCAAGCAAGACTTCAACAGTCTGATTGTCATTATTGGTCTTTGACTGGTAAATATTAAAAGATACGTAAAAAGATTTAATTAGCTAGCACATCAAAGTGAAAACAACTTAATAATAAATATTCGTAAGAATGTGAGTTGGCACATAAAAAATATCGAATTTTCAGTTTTGTAATGTTTTGTTTCAGAAAATAAAGCGTTTTCCTTTCAATAATACTTATTTAAAATAGACGCATAATACCTGCGAACAATTATGTGTTTTTAAGAACAATCTAGTAATATAACTTATTTTATAGCTGCAACTTGAATATATTTTAAGACAAACTAATCGTTTTTTCTACATCGTTTAAAAATACTTATTCTCAGGGCAAAGTGATAATCTTTAGATTGTAATCGTTACTAAAGTGTAAAGACGCGTGAAATTGAAATATATGTAGGTAAGTAATTTTATACGAAATTCATAATATTTTGATATAATAATCTTAATGCTGGACTTTTTACTCATAAGCCAAAATTTCTTACGTTAGTTATTTTTATAGATTTATAGGAATGGTAATCAAGAAATATTGTCATTATTAAATGTGGTGCGAATCTTAAACGATTTAAAATATAGATACACTTAATAATTTTTGGTTGTGCTTTAGATCTGTTATACTGAAATTAACAACTAATATATCCAATTCTTCTGTTATATCACACACTTAAATTCGAATCAAACCGAATTTTCAAATAAATATAATATAAACTTACTAGATTCGAACTCGATTGTGTTCTAAATTCTGAATATATCATCACCTAAAAAAGAACACTCTTACTATGAAGTTCATTCGTTATCTCTTCAAGTTTCTAGAATATTTATTGAGTGTAAAAAATATGCATAAACTATAATAGGTACCTAATGTGTATGGGAAAGGGGGCAGTTTAGAATTATTCTAGCCAGGAAAACATCCTATATCTTGCTCAACCTCCAAACCAATTAGATAATATAATAGTTAATATAAAACAATAAAAAAGCTATCGGAGGTTAAGAAAGTTGAATGATCCTGTTTTAAATTGATCCCCTTTCCCCTACATCATTAGCTTAAACTGTAGGTACATTTTAATGAAATAGTAATGCAAATCATGTACCTAACCAGCTATTGTAAGTTTTTATATGTCATTATAACTTGAAGAGATTTGTACCTACCTGTCCATGATAAATGTTGTGATAATACCTACTTGCATTTTAAATACATGTTCAACATCCAACATCATTCAAGCGTACCTACCGCAACTTGGAAATTGCATTTCTTTATCACATAATATATTGATAATAATATGCTTTTGTTTTTTTAATGTTACCCATTTTCTTTGTACATATCGTCAGAATATACCGACGCAGAAGCGTCAATTGAACAATATCTTTTATTTTAATACACCCAATTAGACACCTACTTTATTTATTAATACGATAGACTGAAAAACGTAATATGGTTTGTATGTTTAAGTAGACAAATTACATATCATTGGCGTATAATGTATCATTCTTTTATAAGACTATCATATCGTATTTTTCTATTGAGTCTATTCTCCTTGATTAGGTGAATTATGGATATTAATATAATATAAGCGCTTATGAATATAAGCCAATTTATAAGATATTATTATAACAGTTGAACTCAATTTTTCCAGCTCGAAGGACCATAACACCTGACCCTGATCTGCAATACAGGAGTTTTATGCTAATCTTAATAAAAAATCTGCCAATGAGCATACACCTTTTATCAATAGTTTATCAACTCCCCACTGCTGGGGCACAGGCCTCCCCAACAAATGGAATCAATCATGATACATCTACCGGTATTTAGATAACGCGCATGACTTCATAGAATAGTCCAGTGGTTCTTCTTTCCATTTTAATGCGCAGTAGAATCGACACGCCTTGCACGTAATATAAATTAATTTTATCTTTGATTAAAATAGTCCTTTTATTTAAGTCTTTCATTGAACTCTAATCTCTATATATATATTTGTTGCTTCTGGGCAAGTTCATCCCACCGTAGATCTCATCTATGTCTTTAGGCTAGATTGAGGTCAAGAGTGAGCCCATTGTAAATAAATAAATAAATAATATATGATATTTGACTACTGTTTCTGAACTTTCATTTAAAGGGCTTAAAACAGTCTGATGCTTTGCTAGTGCAATATTCTTGACAATCAGCTTGTGCTTGCTTTCTAAATTCAGCATTTTCATAGATTTTAATGCATGACGCCAAATTGAAATTTGTTAGCGAACGAATCAAGTTAGGTACATACTTCGCTTTTGTATTTTTCGAACAATTATTTTTTAACTTTGGTACTTTGAATTTCAGTTGGTATTTTAAATAAAACTTATTTCTACTATTAGTAGCTCATTTCAAGAATGATTATAAGTAATTTAAGTCATTGATAATTATCGGCAGTTTAGTATATTTTTTGCAAACATTTTTTAACGCCCCTCGGTTAATTGTGAAAGTATATCGATATTAGTCACCCTATTATATTGTCGTCTAATGAATAATTCTCCATTAAAATATATAATTTAAGAAAAACCGGGCGAACGCAAGTCAGACTCGTGCACGAAGATTCGAGTAAAATACATTTAGCCGACTATTATTCATAAACTTGTAAAGCTAACTTAAAATTTGTTATATATAAATCTTACCGTCGTGACTTTTGAGTTTCTAACAACAACCATTTAGTTGGTAGAAAATTAGCACTTTGTAGCTAAATAAATAGAATTCCGTCCTCACCAAAGAAACCCACTTGATATATATTTTAAATATAATTATGAGACAATAGAACAGGTCGAAAACTATGCTCTCTTAGGTATAACTATAGACTTAAATATAAATTAGAAGGAACTCATAAATAAAGTTGCAATTAAATTGTCAAAATTTTCATATGCATTGTGGGAACTTAAAAAACTAACAGATTTCAATTCAACAAAAATTGCTTACTATTCCTATGCACATTCATGGCTGACCTATGGCATACTGATATAGGGAAACAGCTCTGGAGTAGATAAACTTTTCCAATTGCAAAAACGTTGCATACGAAATCTAGAAAATCTAAGTGTTATGGATAGCTGCAAACCATACTTCATCAAGTTAAATATTCTAACCTTGCCGTCCCTGTATATATTTTCTGCTTGTGAATTTGTAAAAAAGCATCCTACCTATTTTCCATTCCACCAACATCACCAAAACCTTAGAACAAAAAATAAATTAGAGCTCCCATCATACAAATTAGAAATATTCCGAAACGGCCCTCTCTCAATGTGCGTGAAGATTTATAATACATTACCAAAATATATCAAAAACGAAGAAAACATTAATAAATTTAATACGTTATTAAAAATTTTTTAATTGAAAATTTATTTTATTCACTGGATGATTTTTTTGAAGAGATAGTACTTAAGTATTAAATTGATAGAATAGGGATGATGAATAATTTTTGTTTGTTTGTCCGTCAAGAAGAGTGTTAAAAAATATTAAACACGTATTTTTTATTTTTTTCGCAATCATAAAATTACGGCGTTACATGAAATTGAAATTTCGCATGACGTCTCGTTAGGGTACGTTTTCTACTCAACTGTGACGTAGCGAGCCCCCACTCCTCAAATTTATTGCCTGTTATCTAAGCTATTTCTTGTTAAATTGAAGTAAAAAAAATACGTTTCTAATATTTTTCTATTATCTGACTGACGGACTAAATAGAATTGCATTTTTTTTACCCAGTCATCGTCCCTATTATTTAACATTAAGAAATTGCTGTACCCTTGCAGGGTCATGTTTGTGTCCATTTATATAATTAATATTATGTATATAACATAACATCTATGTAACAACATGGTGCAATAAAGGATTTGATTTGATTTGTTTTAAGTCACGAACGCCTAACTAAATTGAAAACGGTCTTTCCACCCCTAATATTTTTCAAGGCATATATCCAAAGTTACCTCACATAATGAGAAGATAAAAAAAAATATCCCACACTTTACATGTAGGAGAAGTAACCGAAACAATTTTTTTTAAGATTTTATTTTACCACTTTCTCGGCGCGATTAACGTGTATGCTCATGCTAAATTTAACTCTCTAATACCAATCGTTTTTGAATTAAATCGCAGTTGACGAAAGTGTATGGTTCCTAGTTGACTACAGAACCATTAAAGCCCGCAAAGTTGGAAATGAAAGCAACTTTGTTTGATTTAAATCGGAAAAACAATAAAGAGGTCAAACATAAAAAAAACAAAATCCCGTTTTAAAAGCACGGTAGCCTCACTTATTAGTAATTTTCCATTATGCTATTATGTTATTAAAAAGCTGCTAAATTGAAGTCGATAGCTATTTTTTTTTAAACAATTGGGAAAAAAGAAAATCTACAAACATATAAAAAATTGAAATCCCGCTATTAAAATACAGTAGCGTCATCTAGTGAACAGTAGCGTCAGCTAAATGTAACATTTTCGTGTACTTACCAATATAACACATACATTTAATATTAGCGACAACGATGGTACCGATTTTAATTATTCAAAACATTATTTAATCGTAGGATTATACAGCTTAAGGTAAAACATGGAATATAATTACAATGACAAATTGAATTCTAAACAATGGTTACTATGGTAACGATTTAATCTCATTTTCATTTTCATTATTTTATGTAATTTTTAGGGATAAGATATAATG